AAAGTCTGGCTCGTCTGCCATTTGTTGGCGTTTTTTTTTTTTTTTGGTCTTCTTTCCGTTAAACTCCAGCAGAATGTTTTAGTTGTTTGCCCACCTCTGGACTCTAGTCTTGTTCCCGAAACCTGAGTGCTGCGTGCACCTTCATTTTTCAAATCTGATTTATTTGTAGAATTATTTGTATGCAGACTGTTGGTTCCTTGTCTCGCATACAGATGCACTTTGACTTTAAAGAAAGCCTCCAATCTGTCGAATGTTACGACATGCTTGTTGGGGAGGCAGTGGGTCTATTCGTTTTCCACCATAGTGGATCCCCTAAACCCACACGGGGAGTTGGGGTTTACCAAAAAAGTGCGATGAGGCTCTTTTATGCCACCTAGATATTTTTATCTTCCGTGTCTTCTACCTCGTTCTCTGAGCCAATCGCTGCGTCTGTGGAATCCATTTCGTGCTCGAGCAACTCCTCGGTTCTCTGGCATCGCTTGTACCTCACCCACAGCTCGTCTAGCTTTTGTTGTGACATGCGATATTATTCATTACCTAAAATGCAATATATGCAAGTAGGTCACTAGTACAAGCTGGAGAAAACATCATTGACAGAGCTGCTATAATCAACGCCCCTGCCGACTAGACCGTTGGAAAATGACGTCTTTCATGCTAACCCGATTACGTGACCCGCAAGTAAAGCAGCGAGCAGGTTTTCATCATTCTGAGAAGCGGTACTATAGGCATTGATGGTATTTAAAATTTGCAACAAGCGCGCGAGCACACACACCGACACACACGCACACAAAACACATTGCCGTAAAAATTGGCATCCTATCAAGAATGTCTGGAATGCAGAGTGATCCGTTGGGATGTTTTCAATTAACTCGATCGGTCGTTGACTGTTTACTTTCTGTTCATTCTCTCTCTCTCTCTCTCTCTCTCTCTCTCTCTCTCTCTCTCTCCTCTCTCTTTCTCTCTCTCTCTCTCTCTCTCTCTCTCTCTCTCTCTCTCTCTCTCTCTCTTTTTTTTTCTCTCCCTCCCCTCCCCCAATCTCTCTCCTCTGGCTCTTCCTCACCCCTCTCTCTCCGTCTCTCCTCTGTTTCTGACATATGTGTGTGTGTGTGTGTGTGTGTGTTTAATATTTCTGTTTCTCTCCCCCCCCCCTTTTTTTTTCTCTCCTTTCTATTCTTTATGCTTCATTTATATTTCCTTACACTTCAATTTTCATTATTTATCACATTCATAGTAAACAAATTTATCTGAATGCAGCAGGTGTTTGTTTTACTCAACCAAGATTCCAAGTTTTCGTTCACTGGCGTATCAGCATCAAATTCATAAACTCAAATCTGTTTCTGCGGAGCTGACTTCTTATTTCTGTCACGTTCGTTACTTTAACTAATTCATGTCGGTCCGGTAGTTTGTTTATATACGATCTGTTGGATACTGTCTCCCGGTAATGTCAGTGTGTTACGAAACGAATAGACAGATAGATTAGCTGGTTCTGCATCACTTTGAAGTGAGCTAAGGCATGACAAGCTTCATGTTGTGAGATCAATACAGTCTGAGGAGAATGGCACTGCGGGAGTTACCAGAGGGTCTGGCCGACGCTCAACAATCAAGGGAAAGGCGAGACAGATATACAGTCAAACAGTTACTAGTGTCAACGGAATTGGAACTCTTCGCTTGACGATGAAGATGGGGACAGAGCGCTTGTGGGGGTGTCCCGATTGCTATGATGTCAATTCCTAATTCAACATTTAACTTCCAACAGGTAAGGGATAGGCCAAACGGATATACAACCAGTCTGTTACTGATGAAACTGAAGTGAACGGCGTTTTCGAATTTGTAGTTGTTTGATTCTCACACTTGAGATGTTAATCCTACAGACTACAAATCAGCAGGGAAAAAGAAGAAAAGAAGGCCGAAACATGCAGACAATAGGCATTCTGTAGACACATTAGCAGGCAGGGGAGCAAAGGTAAAGTAATGGCTAGCATTATTAGGTTCAATTTTGATTTTTGTTTCTTCCCCAAAAATAACTCCTGCTTGCAAGGCGACCCGCCCCAGATGAAGAACACGAAAAAGGAGAATCATTTTAATCACGAAAAAAGTTGCTGAAAGGTTACACTGATCTCAGAATGTGTAGTTTAAAACGGTAGAGTAAGCAGTCCCAGGGTTCTGTATAGCTTAGGCCAGTGGTTCTGAAACGTCCGCATGCCGCGACAATTTAATACAGCTGGGCGAGGTTGCTGAGAGGGCCTCGAGCTGGCTCTGGACACAATGTAACAACGTGGGAGACGGGCCTCGGTGAGCTGGTCCGAGTGTCTAGTGGAAAAGAATTTCTCATCCCTCAAAGTCCATCGTGTCCGATTTGTCTGCCAGTGTCCCTCTGCCACCTGCTAACAAAGTACAACATGTGTCCGGTATACCAATCGTAAGCTTGCCACTCGGTCGTTCAGGTATGCAGACTGCTTTAATTATGCTACCGCAACAACTTCTTATCAATTCGTCTTGTCTCTGCCCGATAACCTCCGGTAATACGTTCAGCAGGGGAAACCAACCCTAAGCTTCATAAACTCAGGTGGGCCCACTCTTTGAAAATGTATAGGAGCACGTGGGCCGAAACATTTGTCGACTAGAGGTTACTTCTACTGATGATTGGTAGACCCCTGCTGTATATGCTCCCCTGTGGAGTTTATTGTTATCTTAATACAGTTCCTCATGTTGTGGTGACCTCCAAACATACAATTATTTTCGTTGCTAGTTTATAACTTCAGCTAATATGTTCTTTCGATGGTCTTTGATGACCCCCGTGAAAGAGTCGTTTGACCCTCAAAAAGGTCGTGACCTATAGGCTGAGAACCTCTGGTTTAGGCCCTCATCACCGGACATACCCATAGATGCTCCGTCTCCCGCAGCAAATGTCTTTAGGTGTAGATGCTAACTGTTCCCGTAGCACACTGATTATACCCACGTCGTTCTCTTCCTCTCATGCGTCCTTGTAGGATCCACTCCCAGTTCTTCGTTCCTACATTCTCACACATGTTGCTTCATCTAACCCAGTGTCTTCTATCAACATTCGTTCATACATGGCTCTCACAATGTCTATCGTGCCCAGTACGAGTATTCCCATAGCTATCGCTTTTGTAGCCATAAAATCAGGTCTTTCATTCCCTCGCTCTCCTGTATATCCACGTGATTCCCTGCATGGCTGGCGTAATGATGCTTGCTATCCACTCATGCCACATGTGTCCATTTTTAACCTTCCGCAATGCCGACTGAGAATCAGACACAATAATTTCTCTGGTCTCTTTTTTCTGCTATCCACCTCAAAACTACAGAGATTGCCTCCACCTCCACCCTCATGCCTGAAGTTGTAGACTACTCCACTTTGTTCTGCCCCTATCTTGACATTTATTCTAGCTGGAAATTCCCCTGCCAGATCTTAAAACCCGATGAACAGAACCATCTGTGTACACTACTACATCATCTAGCCCAGCATTGTCATCTGCCAGTTGTTCTACCTCTGATTCTGCCATACCGTTACCAACTTCCAACATTCTTTTTCCTAATATGGTAATGAGTGAAGTTATAAAGATGTCGAGGATACGGGGAGAGCTCAATGTATTGGCGAAGGATAAAACGATTTGGAGTGAGTTGGTTGAGGGCCTATGCTCCATTGGGGGATAGAAAGGCAGAAGAAGATCATGACCTGATGGAAACCACTGTTGTGGATGTTCGTGTCGACCCATTCCTGCTGTTTGTATTTGCTCGATGGAGGCCACCGTCCCGTTGGTATCTTCAGCTAGTGTTATCCATGAACTTTTTCTTTTCAACTGGTCTCCTCTTAAATCTTTCAGACTGCCCTGCAGCGGATGCCTTTCACCATTGGGAACTCCCATACAGGGCTTGGATTGCGACAATCACAGTCTAGACCAGGGGCTCTCAACCTTCCTAATGCCGCGACCTTTTAATACAGTTCCTCAAGTTGTGACGACCCTTTAATACAGTTCCTCATGTTGTGACGACCCTTTAATACAGTTCCTCATGTTGTGACGACCCTTTAATACAGTTCCTAATGTTGTGACGACCCTTTAATACAGTTTCTCATGTTGTGACGACCCTTTAATACAGTTCCTCATGTTGTGACGACCCTTTAATACAGTTCGTAATGTTGTGACGACAATTTAATACAGTTTCTCATGTTGTGACGACCCTTTAATACAGTTCCTAATGTTTTGCCGACCCTCTAATACAGTTCCTCATGTTGTGGCGACCCCCAACTACACAATTGTTTTCCTCGCTACTTTAAAACGTCAGTGAATATTTGTTTTGCGATGGTCTTTGGCGAAGCCTGTGAAAGTGTCGTTCAATCCAAAACAGAGTCGCGACTCATAGGTTGAGAACCGTTGGTCTAGTCTTTACCGATGTCAGCCGAAGAATAAACCTCATAGTTCTAATTGGTGTATCAACCCAGGTTTTACACTGTGTAGCAGATAGGGTTAAAATGCCTAGGCCGACACCAATCAATGAAAGGACCAAATGGGTGAACAGTAAGACCAATAGTTTCTTTTCCATGTGTGTCGCCACCATCGTCTTCAGTGCCGCTAGACCACGCCTGCATTTGATCCACAGTCTGATCAATGATCTTTGTAGGACAGACTGCGATCAAATGTCAAATCCAAGTATTTAAACCTGCCTCTTATTTCGACATTCATGCACTTTATTGATATGCACGTAAGAACAATAAGTGTGTGACGATGACAGGAGAAAAATGTGAGTGAAAGTATATATCATTAAATAACGAAGTTTACAAAGACACTTGCCGCTTACTTAAGGATAACATTAGAAAACAATTACTCAGTTTCTCGTACAGCGATAACATTACAAAACCATAACTCAGTTTCTGGTTAAAGGATGACATTAGAAAATAATTGCTTTTACTACAATAATAATATTACAAAACAATAACCCAGCTTCTGGCACAACGATAACATTACAAAACAATAACTTACCTTCTCGTACAATGCGTGGAATTCGTTATATCTTCGGAAGATGAACCATGACCGCCCATCACAATTGACTATCACTTTGTATACCTGCGTCAGTGGATAAGAGAAAGGGTATAGTTAGCAGCGTAGTTTGCAATTTCTTTCTTAATGGTCGTTTCTCGATACCAGTCGAAACCAACGCAAGGCAATCTGCTGCCAAATCGCCTGCAAATGGGGTCGAACCAGGTACCCAGGCATTACTAAGCGCGTTCGTAATAGTAGTAGTAGCAGTAGCTGCAGAAGCAGCAGCAGCAGCAGCAGTAGTAGTCGTTGTTGCTGTTGTTAGTTGCAGTGGCAATAGAAATAGCATTATAAGTAGCAGCAGCAGTATCTGCATTTTCACGTTTATTTCTTTTGGTATAGAAGCTACAGCTTTCAATTTTTATGTTGTCTAATGTGTCTTCTGATCTCTTCTTTCATCTACTTCTAGTACTGAAGATAAATATATATGTTTTCAATTATTAGGCTCAAAAACCTGGCACTAGGACAAATACTGCAGCTTCCCACAATTCCTCGCCAGAAGACGTAAGCCAGTTATCATCATCATCATTAACATCATCATCATCATCATTATCATCATCATATCTGTTCATAAGTAGGGTGACCATAGGTCCCATTTTCACCAGGACATAATTTTAGTTACCCTAGTCATTAAAGTCACACGGGGCTCAGAGTCTAGTTGTTCTATCTTTACAGTCATTTCCAAAAGCATGGACTGAATGCAGTCCAGCACCTTTGGCCTCTCTCACCAGCGTTCGTTTCAGCGTTTATTTTCTCAACATCTCAAGGTACGGTGTGAGGCAGGTTAGGTTGGCTGTGTTTCCTTCACATGATGTTGCTGAATGCTCCCAGCATTGATTTGGCTGTCTGGTTTGACACGGACAGCGCCGTTGGGCTACTCTTTTTCGATTGACAACTGCCAAGGAATTTTTTTTAACGTGCGCAACAATACACACACGGGCGTCCGGTCTTACTACACAGAGACCATTGGAAATTACTAGAAGTCCACGTGCAAAAATCCCAGCCTTCACCTGGGCCTAAACCCGGGACCTTCAGCACTCGAGGCGGACGCCATGCCTCGAGACCACGCAGCACCTATATATATATGTATACATACATGCATGCATACATACATACGCACAGACGCACGCACGCACACACACACACACGAACACACGCACGCACGCACGCACGCACACACACACACACACACATTCATACATACATACATACATACATACATACATACATACATACATACATACATACATACATACATACATACATACATACATACATACATACATACATACATACATACATACATACATACATACATACATACATACATACATACATACATACATACATACATACAGACAGACAGACAGACAGACAGACAGACAGACAGACAGACAGACAGACAGACAGACAGACAGACAGACAGACAGACAGACAGACAGACAGACAGACAGACAGACAGACAGACAGACAGACAGACAGACAGACAGACAGACAGACAGCCACCGTATTGTAGCAGCTAGAAGCTCGTTTGCGGATCGGAAGATCATGGGATCGTGTCCTGACAATACCAGAATTTTCTTTTTCAAAAATGATCTTGGCTCCCAGGTCGACCCAGCCTTGAATAGGTAATAGGTGGAGTCCTGGGTAGTAAAGGCGGCAGGTGTGATGCTGACCACACCCCACCACACCCCAACCCCCACCGAGTTCGGTTGGTCTATACACTATAGGCCTTTCAGAGAATGCCCAAAACGCCTCAAGGCGTGGAAAGGGTCCTTTACTTACTTAGTTTTCTAAACGCGAATAGGTCTTGCTAGTCGAACTCGCCATCGCCATGGGCTGCTTCACTAGATCACAAAGTCCCGATATCACACAGAAAGATGGACTTTTTCTCAACAATACTCCAAAGACCAACCGGCAACTTTCGGACAGAATCACCTGACAAATTGGGTTACGTCAACTTTCCAGATTATTCACTTCCCAGCTGCCTTCTAATTACTTGCCTTCATTCTAGTTCATGGTGACTGGCACCTTTCCATTTTTCCAGACGACAGTGTTATACTGCGCTATGAGGATATGTGAGACTCACAGCCCATGGCGATGGAGAGTGTGACTAGCAAGACCCGCCGGTGTCAAGAAAAGTCTTCGCCAATGATAGGATGGGATTTCAGGATCGTTGTGGTTAACATTTGTATTTAATCCGTTTCTTGTAAGACGCTCAGCTCTCATCCTTTCGGCAATAATTTATTCCTCCAGTCTCATTCCCTTTCTGATATGCCCTTTCCACACAACAAGGTCCATGGCATTTTGTTCCCATGAGTCCACATCAATACCTGTAACAGTCATGTCCCGCTTGCACACATCTTTATACAGCAGTAGAGGTTGCCTTCGACATTTTCTTCCCATCTTTAAATCACCATAAATGATGTCCTTAGGGACTCTGCCATCCTTAATTGTCCAGGTATGAGCAAGCCACCTAAACCTTCGTAGACTGAGCATTTAGAAGACTGTTGTAATACCTTTTCTTTCCAGTACCTCATTGTTTGTGATCTTGTCCTGCCACTTAATACCAAGTATTCTTCTTAGGCATCGCATGTGAAAGCTGTTTAGTCGTCTCTCCTGGTGCGAATAAGCTGAAAAAGTTTCTCTCGGTTCACGTCTTCCGTTCGAGTCTCACGCTTTTCTTGTATCCCTTCTTCACTCACCATGGGATACTCGAGACACACTTATCTCGTTTGTCTCTTGTATCACTGGTCCTCTGACCTTGTCCTCTCCATCGGGAACTATCTGGGATTTCCCCGGGAATTCACAACATTACAAGTAGTCGTTTACCCAGGAGAGGCAGAGGAGGATCGGCGCAGTCCTTTCTGACTTCTACCCGTCTAAGACATAAAGGGTCTTCTCCTCCCCCTCCTCCTCTTTCTTCTTCTTCTTCTTCTTCTTCTTCTTCTTCTTCTTCTTCTTCTTCTTCTTCTTCTTCTTCTTCTTCTTCTTCTTCTTCTGCTTCTGCTTCTGCTTCTGCTTCTGCTTCTTCTTCTTTTTCTCCTTCTTCTTCTTCTTCTTCTTCTTCTTCTTCTTCTTCTTCTTCTTCTTCTTCTTCTTCTTCTTCTTCTTCTTCTTCTTCTTCCTTCTTCTTCTTCTTCTTCTTCTTCTTCTTCTTCTTCTTCTTCTTCTTCTTCTTCTTCTTCTTCTTCTTCTTCTTCTTCTTCTTCTTCTTCTTCTTCTTCTTCTTCTTCTTCTTCTTCTTCTTCTTCTTTTCTTCATTTTGTTTTCTTTTTCTTCTCTGGCGTTCGCCATCCAAAGGGCGGTTGACACACTGACATTCGATATCTGCGCCATCTGGCCCAGCGCATCTGATTCCAACAAACCTTTGATTAGTCGCCTTCCGAGACATGTTTGGTAAAAGGGCAGTGGATCTATTCTCCCCTAGACGCCAAACTGGGCAGTGGATCTATTCTCCCCTAGACCACCAAACTGGGCAGTGGATCTATTCTCCCCTAGACCCCCAAACTGGGCAGTGGATCTATTCTCCCCTAGACCCCCAAACTGGGCAGTGGATATATTCTCCCCTAGACCCCCAAACTGGGCAGTGGATCTATTCTCTCCTAGACCGCCAAACTGGGCAGTGGATATATTCTCCCCTAGACCCCCAAACTGGGCAGTGGATATATTCTCCCCTAGACCCCCAAACTGGGCAGTGGATATATTCTCCCCTAGACTGCCAAACTGGGCAGTGAATCTATTCTCCCCTAGACCGCCAAACTGGGCAGTGGATCTATTCTCCCCTAGACCGCCAAACTGGGCAGTGGATCTATTCTCCCCTAGACCACCAAACTGGGCAGTGGATCTATTTTCCCCTAGACCGCCAAACTGGGCAGTGGATCTATTCTCTCCTAGACCCCCAAACTGGGCAGTGGATCTATTCTCCCCTAGACCGCCAAACAGGGCAGTGGATCTATTCTCTCCTAGACCGCCAAACTGGGCAGTGGATCTATTCTCCCCTAGACCGCCAAACTGGGCAGTGGATCTATTCTCCCCTAGATCGCCAAACTGGGCAGTGGATCTATTCTCCCCTAGACCGCCAAACTGGGCAGTGGATCTATTCTCCCCTAGACCGCCAAACTGGGCAGTGGATCTATTCTCCCCTAGACCGCCAAACTGGGCAGTGGATCTATTCTCCCCTAGAATCCCAAACTGGGCAGTGGATCTATTCTCTCCTAGACCGCCAAACTGGGCAGTGGATCTATTCTCCCCTAGACCGCCAAACTGGGCAGTGGATCTATTCTCCCCTAGACCGCCAAACTGGGCAGTGGATCTATTCTCTCCTAGAATCCCAAACTGGGCAGCAGAAGCTCCACAAGGGGGCAGGTGCTCTTATTATAACAAAAAGGTTGAACGGGATAAGTGGGATCTGTTTTGCTGGAATGCTGAATGTCGAATTAAGAATCGACGTCACATATTCATAAGCGTTCCATTCCCATCTTCAGCAGCAAGCGAAGATTTCCAATTCATGGGGCACCAGTAACTATCCGATGTTTTGCTAGACTGATATCCAAGAAACAGTTTATCTTCGCCGCCCCCCCCCCCCCCCCCCAACCACCACACATTTTCCTCCTGCGGTAAAAAAAGACATTCAGCTAGCTATCAGAAAAGGGGTTAATCAATCAATGAGAGATAGCCTAGTCGATTCTGCTCTTACTTTTTAGCAAACTAAGCAGCTCTGACACAAATAAAACATGGAACAGAGAGAGAGAGCGAGCGAGCGAGCGAGAGAGAGAGAGAGCGAGAGAGCGAGCGAGAGAGAGAGAGAGCGAGAGAGAGAGAGAGAGCGAGCGAGAGAGAGAGAGCGAGCGAGAGAGAGAGCGAGAGAGAGAGAGAGAGAGAGCGAGAGAGAGAGTGAGAGAGAGAGAGCGAGAGAGAGAGCGAGAGAGAGAGCGAGAGAGAGAGCGAGAGAGAGAGCGCGCGCGAGAGAGAGAGATAGAGAGCGAGCGAGAGAGAGAGAGCGCGAGCAAACGAGCGAGCGAGAG